ACTGGTGGGGTGGGGTGAGAGGCAGAAAAGGCCTTGGCTCTGTGTCAGCCCTGCCCAGCAGTAACAAAACCATCCCTGGGTTATCAATGCTGTTCTCAGCACAAATCCAAACCAGAGACCCCATACTGGCTACTGGGAAGGACATCATTAACTCTGTCCCAGCCCAAACTGAATCGATCACTGCCGCCTTTCAGCATCTTCTACAGATTTTCCTGGAGAAAACACGACTGCAGGGACTGGTGCCTGGGCCACGCTGAAGCCACGGCCCCACGGGGTAAAATTCAGGGTGGAGGTTGCGGGACACACACACACAAATGCGTCTCGCTGGTGGAAGCAGACACCGAAATCCTCATGGAACTAGAAGCCAGGCACCCCAAATGAAAACAGGAAGATAGAATTTATAGATGTAAAATATTTTTATTTGTAAATGCTGATCTTCTAAATCTGTTTCCACAAATTCCAAAACCCATAACACTCTGTATACTTCAAAAAAATTCTTTTTTTTGTGGTGTTTTTTTGTGGTTTTTTTTTGCCAACATTAGATACTATTATACAGAACAGAAAAAACTGTAGGACAAATACTGGTAGGATGTTGGAATATTGTACAAGAGAAGAAAAATATTCAAGAAACAATTTCATACAGCTATTTATCAAGAGAAAAATATATACAATTGATTTATTCTGTAAGATAAAAATACATCATGCCATATACATTACAAGTTCAGAACTGTATGACTGAATATACCAACAGCTTACAGTCCACTTTAATTGTGCACACAAAAAAAAAAAAACTTCATTTTTTTTTTTTATATTTAGCCTGTGAAGTGTCAGTACCAGAATTTTAAGTACAAAATAAAAAGCTAACCTGGTTCAAAATGCTGATTAAATTTCTACAAGCAAACACAAAACAGTGTTTATTTTTTTTAAAGAAATGTAAACAAAAACAATCCATACAAACACATCTTTAAATTACATTTTCCAAAACCCTATTGCCAGAGTCCTGCAGCTGCAAGCACGTTACATCTAATTTTTTTTTTTTTTTTTTTCCTCATTTTCCTTTTAAGAAGGCTATCGCATCGGAGTTAAGCTCCACTACATGATTCTATGCTGTTTACATGATTTAAGGTAGGCTGAACGGTCACCTAATCTTGACTACTTTTGCCGAAGGGAAAAAAAAAAAACCAACAACCCCAATGTCCAGCCTCTATTTTGGGTGGTTTTTAGCAGTTATTCACAGTTATCACAAATTGTAAGCACAAAAAAAAAAAAAAAAAAACCTGACTTAAGAAATAGGGATGCAACAATATAATACAAATCAAATGAATCTAAATTACCCCGACATCTACAAAAGTCCGAGTTGTAATATACAAGCCCTTAGCGGGCTTAAGGTTTGCTTAAAAAAATTCTCAGAAGACCACAGTTGAGACTGCTCGAAACATAAAAAACCCCCCTCTCTCTTTAAATTGAGATTTTGGTTATTGGGTAACTGTAAGCACACGGCGGTTAACAGGCGAGATCATATTGTGACATCCCTATCGACAGTTTATGATAAGCACCCGAACTGCTGCAGAGTCTGGTAGCATTTGGTCAATAACTATTTTTATACTGTATTTTTTTTTTTTTTTCTCAAAATATTTACACTTTTGTACAAAGTAACAGAGTTTGTTAGTTCTGCAGGTAACAGCAGCAGCTTGGCTTTCTTCTAACTTTCTTTTTAAAAATAGCTTCATTCACTTATTCAATAATAAATACAAAAAGGTTCTCTTATTTTACAGAAATCAAAAACTACAATAAACTGACTCATGGAATCAAGTATTTAAATGTATTTTAGTGCAAGTTATTTTTTCCCTTAGCTCTATCCCTAAGGAAGTCGTTTCAGTACATTCCTTGTTCAGTGGTGTCTACTTTTATTTAAAATTTTTCTTTAATTAGAGGGCCTGCCCCTTTATCAAATAAGGCTGTGGCCAGCACTTTGGACTTCTCCCTTTCGCTGGTGATTTCAGTCTTACATTCATATACGCCCACCTGCACTCCGCAGGTCAGCCATCGGTTCTTTGCCCAAGTTAAACAGTTTCTCCTTAGTGAGCTCAAAAACAAAAGTGCTGGACCATTCTGTTAACTCAGTTTAACCTCCATGTGGCTGGAAAGTTCGCTTCAGATTTTGCCGGCTTGCTTCTGGTGCTTGGGTTTGGGTTTTTTTTTCCTTTTTTTTTCTTTTTTTTTCTCCTTTTTAAACACTTGAGTAGAAATCTGTACTTCCAGAAGTGATTTTTTTTTTTTTTCCTCCCCCCTTCAAAAAGGCAACAATTTTCCGTCGACAAAATCAAAATGTGAATCGCTTCTTCCTAGGGACAAGCAACCCTCAAAGACAGCAAGGAATGCATTCTAGTTCATCCACTTTCGGCAGTTTACAGCTCCACAGTGACATGGAATCTTGTGCTGGTCATCTTCAAAATCAAACTTATAGTCGTAGCAAAGCTGGAAGAGGACGGGGGAGAAGGGTTATGGAACAAGCGGGGTTTACCACCGCTTGCCCTCCTGGCCACAGGTTAAACAGCAAAACACGCTCAGCGCTC